TTTCTATTAATAAAAAATATTATTATGTACGTACGTACCTACACATTAATATTTTCAGAAGTACTGTTTTCCCAAATGTATTTTATTGTTCTATATAATAACTTATTGTTTAAAATATATAATTATGTTTTTTATAATGAGTCACTTAATGATTCATATATGAACTTGTACATTTAAAGTTTAAAGACTGAATTTTAAATACAGTAGCAACACAACACCTATCTGTATGTAAATTTAAAATGTATTAAAACCCTCAGTACGTTCCGATTGGAATCTAAATGAACAGGCACTTTATTGATAAAACTTAAAATTTTACAAAACATACTTCGGTATACAATACACCCCATCAGGTGTTATACTTAGTATATTAAACACTACATACGTTTTTTATTAATGAAATAAATCCCGAAAAATACATTATTCCTTTCCCAACAAGTGTAATAATTGATAATAACGAAATGCTTTTATCTAACTCACCGATTGCAATAATACACTTATTAAATCCACAATGTATAATCGTATAATATTTAAAGTAAATTAAACTTTAAAATGCACATCAAAATTCACCAGACTTAACTTGAATGTATCACATACCACATATATATGTACGCATAGACAAATATACAAGTTTTATCTATAGATAGTATTATCGTATGTATTATTATAGCCATATCAAGTCCTGTGAATCTGGCACCCAATCTAAACAACATATCAATTCAAACTTTACCGTAAATTGTGAGTCATTTGCGGGTTTTAAATATATAAGTATCATAATTGTGCGTTTACTAGTTCTGTTAAAAAAACGGAAAATTGTTTCGGGTGCATTATTCAATAACTACTGAAAATATGATAATTAATTTATCGCCAATTGATTGCGTATAATTTGTGCTTAAATAATGAACTGTTATGGTTTGTCGAGTTTATTTTTGTTTTATTTATTAATGATTACAAATAATCCTATTTTTTCAATGACATTACTATGGTCATATTATTATCTATGATTCACCAATGGCGCACGCGTATTAGTAATATCAATGAAAAATTAAGTATATTATGTAATATATGCGACAGTCTTATAAAACTGGCCCAGACTTTGGTTTTCTCATTATTTTTTTCTTTTTAAAAAAATACACGTCATTAGTTTAAATAAAAATTAACTACATATGTACCTACTAATTTCATTTCTTTCTTTTACCATCGAATGAACTAGAAGGAAGGAATTCAGCAAGAACTTTCGTAACACTGGCGCTACTACACTTATCATCAGGGGGGTAAAGTCTGATAACTAAAAACGTCTTATTCTTCTTTTGCTACTAATATCACTATTATATGCAGACATTAGCATTTATGGATGTAGTAGGAATTATTCTTTAAACAGATTATATAATAATTAGGTAATTAAATAAATAATGAAAAATACAAAATTTTCCTTTTGATGTAATATCAATGAAAAATTAAGTATATTTGTGAATGTATTATACGTAAGTAATACTAATAAATAAATATTATTAAAATAAAATTACCAAACAATCAGGTTGGCCATAATTTCTAAAATTAACATTTGCTAGACCCAATATGTTACCTAATTGTAACAAAAAAAAAAATAAAAAAATGCATCGGCCGGGAATCGAATCTGAGGCATCCTCGTGACAGACTCGAGTACCTGGATTCAATTAGTACCATAAATTATTTTTATTTTGTGCTGTAGCACAGTAACCTTCAAATGATGAAATTTTGTCCTCCCTCCCTATTATAATAAATAGTGAAAAAAAAACAGAAATTTCCACGTTCATATATTTAGAATCTCAACTTTAGGGTATTTTAATCCTGGCAAAATTTGTAGACCTACAACCCCCAAAGCATCCTCGTTTACAGGAATTACATAATAAGCAAAATTAATCACAAATTTAAAAATAACAATTATTTCCCCACATTTTTGTAACTTTCGTATTTATTTATTCTCTTACTGATTTACGTTGTAGCAGAAAATTACATGATTAATATTGTAATAGAAAACAGCAATACCTATTGTAGCAACTGTTTCCTTTAAACTTTTTTTAAGAGATAGGCTTTCTATTACAACTGTGAACGTGATTGTGATGCATACAGACGAAAAAAGTTAATAAACAATAGCCTGTAAAACCGGAAATTTTAAATACCCTTAATCGACTATTTCCCTGGTTCTAATGACTCTGTATACTGATAAAATACATAAGATTAAAGGAAAATAGAATGGAATGTCACACATATCTGTATATTCTAATTTAACACATATGATATGAAGTACATACGAGAAAAATGTACCAACAAGAGCAAGTACCTAGAATACACATACCTAATATTAATCATATGAAGCATAAGTAGATATGATGTCAAATAATACTAGATACCTACTGATGAAAGTCTAATTTCAATGACACAAGCACACAAACTATACAGAAATTTTTACAAAAACAAATGACCTTATATTAAATGGGTTGAGTACCTTTTATGGATAAAATGTTTATTGCCTGTTTTATTTTTATGTAATTAACGTAAGTGCTAGCTTCTTTATAAATATAGTACAAACGTATGTACATTTGANATTTAGTAAAGACATTTTCGGTAAGATACGTCGACTTTTTTGGTTTACATTTGGACACCATCAAACCCTCTCAAGAGCTCGTTAGTATTTTTTTTAAGCGGTTGATAGAATTAATAAAGGGATAATTTCTCGAGAAAGTTTAACTTTTACAAAAGAAGTCCGTAATGGTAATAATCGTAACACAACGACGGCAACAACAAATGGTAGTTGTAGTAGTAGTAATAGTAGGAATAGTGGTAGAGCAATTTTGTTTCTTATTCCTTTTTTAAATAAACCAAAAGATTATTAATTACTTAATCATTAATTTCAAAAATAACGTATCACATTGCACTGAAGCACTGTTCGTGTTCATTCGCCCCGGCACTCTGTCAACGGTTCAATTTTAATGGGCGTCGTCGTCATCGAATCTTTGGGTAGGTGATGATGGGGATGGTGGTGATGAAGATGATGAGGAGAAGTAGTAGTTGCAGTGTGCATCGGTTTCACTAACTCATCGATGTCTTCTTGGAAAAGGGTCTCAGGGCGCGGTGAGGCGAATGGTCTCGCGGACGGTTTGTAAGTCATCCCCGAAACGCCAATACCTGTTACGTCATTACCACCTGGTGCCAAACTCATTGCCGTTGGGGTTGGTGGCTGTTGTTGCTGAGAGGAAGGCGGTACCATAGCATTCGATATAGTAAGTCCCAATGGTGACGACAAAGGACTTTCCATGGCTGATCCTGTAGGACTTATTCGCAAGTCTTGTACACTGGCTGGACTTGTCATTCGATGTCCGCCTAGACTCAATGTGGGTGTTGCACCGTTACTCGAAAGTGCTGTTGTGGGCATGGGAAGCGGAGAGGCCGTACAATGAGCCGCTAATGTCAGAGAGTTAACGAGACTATCATGAACGCAATTTTGCTGTTGTTGTTGTGACTGCTGTTGTTGTTGCTGTTGTTGCTGCTGCTGTTGCTGCTGCTGTTGTTGTTGTTGTTGCTGTGCGGCTGCCATCATGTTGCACATTTGTTGTCGAAGACCTTGGGCAACCGCCGCAACGGCTGCCGCAGCTGCAGCGCCAGGAGAAACCGTAGGATCTGAACCATTGTTGCATGTGTTATTAGGATAACTGGCCGGTATTCCCACCCCATCCTAATTAAAAAAAAATTGATATTACATTCTGTATTCGTTCATTTTTTCTCATTAATTACTTGACAAATAATGGCTGCATCAAAAAATTACTTACGTGAATACGTGGATATCCAATTGGATCTTCCTTTATGTGATGAGAATCACGAAAGACAACTGCCCTGATGACCCCTTTTATGTGTTCATCAGGCCAAACACCGAGAAGAATACGTTGCGGCCTTCCTCTGCCCTTGGGCCTCAAATCTGACCATAAAGAAATAAAAAACCATTAGAAATAAAAAATATTCTATCAAATTCATACAGAAAAATGCAGTCTGTTCAATTATTATTAACTATTATTTTTATGTATCTGTTAAGGCCAGATTGTGTACAAATGCCCCTATTGCCAGTTATTTAGCCCAATTATATAAATAATACTATGTGTGTAACATCCTGCGCCAGAAGTCAGAACGATTTAAATAATTCGTTGTAGACCTTCCAATATCGTATTACCTTTCATTTCCTCTTTTACTTCGTACTTAGTAAATTTAACTTGATGGTGATTACGATGATCTAACATACTATTTTAAAGGGGAATTCAAGGCAGTGACTATAATTTACGTTCTATTATGGTTAATATGTATATGCACTAATATCTATTTACCTGATCCACCGTCAGCAGATGGTCCTAACATGTTGTGTACTCTGTTGGCGTATAGAACGAATGTCGGATAGGGTATGTCGTATTTTCTGGCGGCTTGGGACAGCGAAAGTCCTTCCTTGAGAACGGAAAAAATGGCTTCGGCCATCGTTTCCGGTCTCCACGATTTCAGTGGACCACGTTCTCTGAATCGTAAATTATGCACCAGACTTTGATTCGTGTTCCAACATTTTTGCCACATGGACTGCAGTTGATATTGGTAGCTGTCTGCTGGAAAAAATAACAAAATTAATAGAAATGATGATTGGAACTTCTCACATTGGATGTAAAGAGAAACAAATTTTTATAATACAATTCATCAGGGAAAAGGACGAAAATATTTTTTTGAAATCCTTTCTACCCAAATTGGATTATCATTTCAATGACGGCTGTAAATATTGTAATAAAAGTAGTAAAGTAAATAAATAGTTCTTAATAATACATATTTATATAAAAAGTATAAAACTTACACTAGACCTCTTCAATGCATCTGAAACATAAATTAAATAAAGGCAAAGTAAGGTTAATAAAAATAAATATTTCACAAAGGACGAAGGAGACGGTGGGCAAGGGAACAATAAAACAATTCAATTTTTTGAGTCTATTTCATAATGTAACTGTATTGAATTATCAGTCACTAAATTGCAATTAATAAAAATAATTAAATTTTATAAATACAAACAATGTACAAAAGATATGTATTATTTTTATTTATAACGAACACAACAAAGTTTTATTCAAATGGTTATAAATTAAAAATACCCTTTAATAATATCGTGAAATCAGTTCTATACAAAACAAAAAGTAATTAATTAAAACGCATTCGTCTCTGCCCTAACAAAAATATAATATTTGGCAATGAAGCAAGTTTATAGCGCCAACTTCAAATCAGCGAAGTAAACAAAAAAAATACTAAAGTATTTTAACACAACACTCCGACATTAAAGAAAGCAAAAACTAAATAATTGGAATGCTTTCAAATGAAACGTTTAAGCACCTAAGTATTTAATGAGAATATATACATATTTATTGCAATTTATTATCTGTTTAACATAAAAGAAAACATAATTTTGTACCATAAAAAGACATAACCTTTATCCTGTTTTTAATTGAATGTCAATCCTATGTACTTTTAATTAAACAAAATCAGAAAATAAAACGTTACACAAATAATAATGAACAGGATTATCATTATACAGCAGCACCTTACAACTTATAAAATTTACACAAAACAATGAACTTAATTTACCTGATAGCTTGAAATTAATTCATTAAAAGAAAATTATTTTTTGTCATGTTAGCGCGGAAAGCTCGTTTTGCATGCTATGAAATAGGGAAGAAATGGCCTCTTTTCAGCCGTGTTTTAGTCGGAAGGAAATGAAATTAGTCTTTTGAGCGCATGCGCTCAAGTTTATATCAGTTGTTCAATGACAATGTCTTTCTAACCTCTAAATCATTTACTCTTATTTCACCAAATATCAATTTAATGACGAGATTTTCGCACGAACATGACAAAAAATAGTATACGTACCTCGGGAAGAAACAGGGTTATATTATTCACATGCAGTCTGAGACAACCCTATTTCTTCCCTCGATACGTAATGTACTATACCCAATGATTGCAGAATATTTTTAATTTATGTAATAAATGTTTACATGAATTTAATGTTGTTTTACTTTCTATCTACGTACTTTAATACTGAAAATATTACATAACTAAATAAAATTTTTGGTCACAATTATGGAATTTTGATGTGAGAACATGATATACAGATAAATTAAATAAGAAAATTGTTCCAATAAAAAAGTTTTCTTTAAACAAAAAAAATAACTTAATCATCCGATCGTACTGTTTAACGAATTTTCATAGTATAAACTTACTATACTGTGCTTTTTACAAAAAGCCCACCACCATCGAAACCCTGAGAGGCCGGTGAACATGAACTCGGGGTCGCGTGCCCTCCTTATTTTTTCTACGTAATTTAAAATTGAATGTAATGATTTTTTTGTTCGTCTATTATAAGGTGAAACCGACACGTCACAGCAAAATTCCAAAACTGCCGCTTCTTCGGACGAATTTAAACCAGCCTCTTCTAGCACCGCCATACGTTTCGATTTACCTAAAATGTTGTCGTAGAGCGTGCCTTTGGGAATACCGTAACGTGCGGAAGCCTGCGTGAATCGCATTTTTTGCGTGACAACCGCTTCTATTGCCTCTTTCAATTGGTCCTGGGTCCACGTGGGAGTTTTTAGTTTTAGTATGTTTGGAAAATCTGGTCGGAAAAACGACAAATCAAGAGATCAAAAATCGACCAAATGGCAAACATGCTGTTGTGTAGGGTCCTGGGACACCCAAATGGAACGAAGTTTCTTACGCTTTTCCACAAATATATATTATTTATAAATTTTGGTTAAGGTATTTTTTAAAAAAAAAACTGATAAACATTTAACATATGCAATCCGTAAGCGCCATCCGGTCATATTTCGAAATTCAATTTTAAAACTGTCTATTGATACTAGCAGGTTAGCTTCCGAAGATTTTTAAAATACAGTAAAAGCTCTTTATTCGCGGGGTATACGTTCCATAAATATGCCGCGAATACAGAAACCGTGGATATGGGATGGTAATTAGTATGGAATCATAAGGGATACGTTCTAAGGTTCCAAAATAAAACCAATATGTACCAAAATAAAATCAATGAATTGATAAATTCACAATTAAAATTAATCGTTATCATCAGCTTTAGGCAAGAGTTTAAAAAATTTAGTGATTTTTTCTTGTTTTGAATTTTGAAAACTCGGTTACATCTTTTATAAAAGTCGCCTCGGCACGACCCAATAGTATGTACTGAAAAGATGCTGATACGTTGAAAAATAACACCGAATCCTTTTCTACCCAAAACTTGCCGATACCTTAAGGGAATTCAGTGGTACACGCGCCAAAGAGCAAAAACATGCTTATCGGTTCTAGATATCATGAAGTTAATATTTAGAACAGAGGTTTGAAATTTTGTGGTAAGATAGATAAAGCTTTGTTCTAAAGCTTGTCGAATGCCATTTTTTAATTTTTTAGTTTCTATTGAAAATATGTGTCCTACAAGAAGCATCAATTTCAAGCTCTTCTAAGAGCTTTTAATGACCATATTATTGAAAACCAAAAAGGTACCTAGTTAGTGTGAACCTTTGTCTGTTACCATACAAAAAAATAGATATTTATCTCGCAGCGTTAAATTACAATGTTTAGAATAGAAACCCTCTTTTCGGAAAAATTCACACTAGACACGAGCGATCTATTGCGGTCAATCCCATTAATAAATGACACCGAATCCTTTTCTGTTTACCGATTGCAACCGCGAATAATGAAATTTTTAACCGTGAATACAGGAACTGGGTTGCAATTTTTTCGCCCGTGAATAATGTAAACGCGAATAAGGAAACCGTGAATAAGGAACTTTTACTGTAACTCCTATTCGATATATTTGTTACTGTTAAAACCAGTTTTTAGATAAAACGCGTTTTCCCTAGTTTTTACTAAATGCCTTTGTTACAACTAGAATTAACCAATGCTCAATATTTAATATCAGTTAATAGTTCTTACTAGACAAAACGCGTTTTTCCGAAGCGAGTCAGTTAAAACTGTTCCGACTGAAGTTAAAGTTCATCATAAAAATATTCCTCAATAATGTTCCTTTTTTAAATTTTATGGTTGTGTTCTGTTGACTTGTTTGATTATTTAATTGATATTGTTACCTTGCAAACTACTTTATGTCGATGTTTCCTAAAACATGACTGTATCTATTACTATATCTTGTTTTCAATTCTAAATTAGTTTCTCTAGTGTTAGTTTCAACTAAAGGTCAGAGTGACAACTAGTTTTATCTGAAAATCAAAAATATCAGTGGAAAATTGTAGTTCTGACTAGGTATTTCTAGTTTTACAAAGACAACTAGTTCTGACTAGGAAAAACGCGTTCTATCTAAAAACGAGTTTTAACTGTAACATAATATTCACCCGATGACAGACTAATCGAATCTGTTTGTCAGCTCTCTCGCATTCTCTCTTTATTTCTCTGCAAGCAGTAAGTAAAAGGAAGAGAGATGTCTACTGACACGTTTATTTTTTGACCAGCGTTGCCACATGTAGGTAATTAGCTTATCAAAAGGGGGACTATAAATTTATAGTACAATTTAATTTTTATGCCAAATGAAAATTTGTTGTTTAAAGGATAGTTGCACGTTGAAAATTTCCTTAGATACTTGTGAATAAATAAAGAAAAAACAGATTTTCTTTTTTTGTGCCAAATGATTTTTTTTAATTAAGCATCCTTTTTCCGCCAAAAGAATCTACGAGAAAATATAACAAAATTTCAGGAAAAAACTAAGGAATAAAAAGAAATTCATGTAGGAACGCTGGTTTTTGCCAGTAAACTCCTTGCCGCCGCAACGTGCTATAAGGAACTTCGTTCCAAAAACAAATCTCTAAAACGAAAATTAACAAAACAGACAAAAAACACTCTGTGGACAAGCAAAACCAAAATTATATGCAACGTTGGAATCGTGACATTTTGACTTAAAAAAATTTGTTAAATTTGTGAAAAAATAAATCAAGTCAGGACCATATTTTGTGTCGCTTTCAACGGCAAATACAATTAGGAGTTTGTGAAATTAATTCTAAAAATCTACAAGACCTACGATTTTTGTTAATTTTTTATAATCGTAAATAGGTTTATTTCCTTTTTTACAAGTTCTACAGATATTTTCACATATTTTCAGAAGTTTCTTTTTAAAGACATTTTTTGAAGTTATGAATATTTTTTAATAACTTAATACCCTTTCTGAATGATATGTACAATCCGGATATTAATAAGATGTATTACTATTAGAACAGAAGGTGGTAGTATGTTATGGTCTCTGATTCTACACAGAATACCTTTTTGAAGGTTGATAATGTATCCCAAGATATCAAACAAACGACAGTTTTTGATCAATGCACGCATGCATTTCCTAATGGAAATTGTATTTTCATTTGTGAAAAGCTCTTGTGTTTTCCGCAACATTACCTATATTGCTTGCCCTTTTAACAAACCATAGTTAAAAAAGGGATGAAGGATTAGTGTACACGCGTAAGAAGTGAAACTTCTTTAGATTGTATATTACAGTAGTATTAAAAAAATCGGTTGTCTGTAAAGTCGGTTTACTGACGATAGTTGAACGTGACAACGTCATAAGAAA